CGCCAAGGCCTTTAGATGACAAAACCCAATTTTGGTGTCGATTGGATAAAATCCCTAGGAGGAGTTCGTTAAAATACAACGCCTGGAAATGGCAAAAATGCCACTTTTTCGTCGCAGGAAGTCAAAAATATCCAACTTCCTGTTGGGTTTGAGATATGGCTCCAAGAGACTTTTTTCTATGTTTTGGCATGTTTGAGGTGTGGGCCAATTTTCGTGCATGTGCGTGATTCGTGGATCGGGGGCTTGTCCGTTTAATTTTTCTAGGTGGCGCTGTCGAGTCATTTTGCCACGCCCACTTCCGAAGACCATAAAAAACGTAAATTTTCGCCACTTCTGAGGTGTGTGCAAAGTTGCGTGAGTTTTCGGGCATGTTTAGCCCCTCAAAATCGCGATTCATTGGAGAGAAGAATAATAATAATAATTAAAGCTGCAAGCAGCGATGATAGGGACCTCGCACCCGGGCTCACCCCCACCCGGTGGCCTCAGGATGACAGAGAACAGCAAACAGTAATAATTTAAGCCGATATGTTTAAAAAATCGGAGAAAATCACCGATTTATGCCAAACCTCCTCCTCTCAGCAGGTGGCGCTATGACTGTGACTCAAGATTGGCATGTAGATGTCACCAGGAGAGGAATCTTATCAACCATGTGAAGTTTCAGGCAGATCGAACATTGTTTAGCTGAGTTATAAGCCAAACTGCCTTTTGTCAGCAGGTGGTGCTACGACAGACTCAATGTTGTTATGTAGATGTGTTCAGGAGAGGACTTTTATCAACCATGTGAACTTTCAGGCAGATCGGACTTTGTGTGGTTGAGTTATAATGCAAACTACCATCTGCCAGCAGGTGGCGCTATAACTGTGACTTAAGATTGGCATGTAGATGCCTTCAGTAATGGAATTTAATCAACCATGTGAAGTTTCAGGCAGATCGGATGTTGTTTGGCTGAGTTATAAGCCTATCTACCTTCTGCCAGCAGGTGGCGTTATGACTGACTCATTACTGTTTTGGGGATGTGTTCAGAAGAGGACTTTTATGAGCCATGTGAAGTTTCAGGCTGATCTGACTTTGTGTGGTTGAGATATAAGGACTTCCTGTTCCACGGCGAAGTGTTGAGGTTTGTCATGCCGCCACGGACACGCCCCTCTGCAAAAACTCTAGATCTTGACAATATATCATCACTTAAGCTTTCAGATAACAACCCACCAAACTTGGTGCTGATACAAAAAAAAATAGTGGGAGGAGTTTATTACTCTGTAAATCATGACATTTCCTGTGGCCAGCAGGTGGCGCTATAACTTTATCTGGATATTGGCATGTAAACGTGTTCTGGTCTGGACTCTTATTAAACATGTGAATTTTGAGGCAGATCGGATAATGCATGCCTAAGTTATAATGACTTCCGGTTTTGTGGCGAATCGTCAAAGTTTGCGGGGCCGCCATGGACACGCCCATCGACAAAAACAATAAAGCTCCGCAATTTAACATCGCCAAGGCCTTTAGATGACAAAACCCAATTTTGGTGTCGATAGCATAAAATCCCTAGGAGGAGTTCGTTAAGATACAACGCCAGGAAATGGCAAAAATGCCACTTATTTGCAGCAGGAAGTTAAAAATTTCTGACTTCCTGTTGGGTTTGAGATATGGCTCCAAGAGACTTTTTCGTATGTTTTGGCGTGTTTGAGGTGTGTGCCAATTTTCACGCATGTGCGTGATTCGTAGATCAGGGGCTCGTCCGTTATATTTTTCTAGGTGGCGCTGTTGAGTTATTTTGCCATGCCCACTTCAATATTGTTATGTGGATGTGTTCAAGTGATGACGTATATCAACCATATGAAGTTTCAGGCTGATCAGACTTTGTGTGGTTGAGTTATGAGGACTTCCCGTTCCTTGGCGAAGCGTTGAGGTTTGTCATGCCACCACGGACACGCCCCTCTGCAAAAACTCTAGATCTTTACAAAATATCACCGATAGAGCTTTCAGATGACACCACTCAATTTTGGTGCTGATACCATAAAATTTGTGGGAGGAGTTTGTTACAGTGTAAAACATGTCATTTCCTGTGGCCAGTAGGTGGCGCTATTTCTGTATCTGGATATTGGCATGTAAACGTGTTCAGGTCAGGACTGTTATTAAATGTGTGAATTTTGAGGCAGATCGGATAATGCATGCCTGAGTTATAACGACTTCCTCTTTTGTGGCGAATCGTCAAAGTTTGCGAGGCCGCCACGGACACGCCCATTGACGAAAACTCTAAAGCTTCACAATTTAACATTGCCAAGGCATTTAGATGATAAAACCCAATTTTGGTGTCGATCGGATAAAATCCCTAGGAGGAGTTCGTTAAAATACAACGCCTGGAAATGGCAAAAACGCCACTTTTTCGCCGCAGGAAGTCAAAAATATCCGACTTCCTGTTGGGTTTGAGATATGGCTCCAAGAGACTTTTTCGTATGTTTTGGCGTATTTGAGGTGTGTGCCAATTTTCGCGCATGTGCGTGATTCGTGGATCGGGGGCTCGTCAGTTTAATTTTTCTAGGTGGCGCTGTCGAGTCATTTTGCCACGCCCACTTCCGAGACCCATATCAACCTGCTATTTACACCGGGTTTGGTGTGTGTGCAATTTTTCATGAGTTTTCGGGCATGTTTAGACCCTCAAAAGTGCCCCGATAGGGGGCGGAATAATAATAATAATAATAATAATAATAAAAAACGGAGCAATTCCAATAGGGCCTACGCACCGTTTCGGTGCTCGGTCCCTAATAAACGGAGCAATTCCAATAGGGCCTTGCACCGTTCGGTGCTCGGTCCCTAATAAACGGAGCAATTCCAATAGGGCCTTGCACCGTTCGGTGCTCGGTCCCTAATAAACAGAGCAATTCCAATAGGGCCTACGCACCGTTTCGGTGCTCGGTCCCTAACAAGTCGATTGTTTAAATAAGGCAAATGCATTGATTAACCATTACTAATGGTGTACATATATTTCACTGCCAGTTTAGACCAGTCATTTCGTCCTCTCTGGGTATATAGTAAAGTTTTTCTGTGTCGTTTAGATTAAGAATAAATTATTTAATGTTTTTCACTCTCGTGACTGTGCGCAGTCAGCTGCGACGCCAAGCGAAAGAAAGCCTTAGTTAAAAGCTAATGCAAAAACACATACAATTGACAAAAGCTTTATAAAGTAAAAGCTGAATCCCGGATATTTTAGGAGATTTAGAAACCTGGACGGATGAATTTTTTAAGTGCCAAAAAGGTGCATCTCTGTGGGTGTGCAGAGCATGTGAGACTTTCTAGAAGGGTTGACTGTCTCGTGCGCACACAGTGCGAAATGGGTAAACGAGTGATTTTCTACTACTTAATAAATCGTGGATGCTTGGTTATATTAGGTGGATACAAAATAAGGTAAATGGATGATTATAATAGAAAAAAAATGTGTCACTAAATATATTTGGGCAGCCGTTAATATACCTAGGCGGCCTGCCCGAGTAAAGTCTACGTGTGCGAAGCTCCGTGTACAATGCAAGTCAATGGCTACCAGTATCTTGAGAGTCAAATAACAGTCAAAACTAAATTAATATCTATGGATCCTGACTGATAACATTGAAGACTTGTAAAGTTAAATGATTGGTTTGTGCAAGAAACTGAACATTTACAGCATAATTGCCTTAACATTATATCTATATTCAGTGAATTAAATCAATAATGGTAGAAATCCAGTTAAAAGAAGAATATTGTGAATCTGTATCCAAGTTCAGGATGGATAATCCAGGGTGTTCACAGGGTGTTATGCCTTAAAGTCTTAAATTTACTGAAATATCGTGTTGTAGGTCTTAATTGTACGCAGGCCTTTTTTGTATATGTGAAATTACCGGGTCAACACTCATCCAATCACCAAAAGTCATCTCAATAAAACTCTATTACCCAGACGGTTTAATTGTCTTTCTTACAATAACATGTTTAAAAGGTCTTCATGCACTTATTATAGGCTTACAGTTTACGGGTGGAAAAGAAAAAAACTAAATTAGGAATTTTTTATTTATTTTTTTTTTTTACTGTTTTCCATTAGAAAGAAAACCTTAACCCTGTATAAGTCTGAAATTTCATTCACAGTGGTCTTAAAAAGATCCTAAAAGTAGCCTTAAACCAAATAGATGCAGTTACAATCCTTGCGATTATGAAAAATATCAAATGCATTATAAATATCTACAGTAGCGTACCTCAGAAGTTATAACACATTTTTGTGTGGAATGCTTGTTTTCAGATGTCAAGAAAGAGGTCTGGTGTGAGGAAGCATCCATGGTGTTTCGAAACCATGTGGAGAAAAAGCCTCTGGTGGCCCAGATCGAGTCTGTTGAGGAGGGCGAGTGGCCCTGGGAGCGCAAAATCTCGGTCTACCTAGTGGACACCACACAGGAGAACAAGGACATCTGGATCCACAACATTATGAAGGAGTTTTTAGATGAGATCAGCAGAGATGCTTGATACTCTCAGAACTGCACTTTCCCAGAACATTTGCTGAAACCTTGACCCAGAAGACGTGTTTGGTGGACGCATGTCATGTTAGCTCAATTTATTTTTGTACGTTCCTAAGTTAACAGTTGTCGTTCTGAGCGCTAGTGGGAAAGAGACTTTATTTTTTGCCGTTAATAATAATATGTCAGTGCCATAATAAATTGTTACCTGAACATCTACCCTTACTGTCTTTGCAATAAGGTCATTTGTCTGAGTTTGATTTGCTTTGCTTTTGTGACAGACACTAATACTTTTGCATTGTTTGTACTTTTTGATTTTGCACTTTGGTTTGTTTGCTGTGTTTTAATGTTTTAACAAGGAAAATGTCCTGATTGTTAAAGAACGTTTGTGTTTAGGTGTTCAGGTTTTGTTGTATTAAAAAAAGACACGACACTTGCGCGACTGTCGTTTTTCACTGCAGCACAAAACAGCCTTGAGTTTTGAGGAAAGCCTCTGATTGGTGGAAAGAATGAAAAGCGTCACTTGATTGGCAGGACTTCCCAGTAGGCGGGGCCAAGCACTCGCGCTACTCCGGGTTTGTGGAAACTCTTTGATCGCCACCGACTGGACTTGTTGAAAAGGGCTCGAGCGGTAACTACATCTAATATTTTGACTTTTCTCCGCCGTGTCAGTCGTCGTTCTTCTATGAAACGGGGTCCTGAGGATTCATTGCTAGAGGCTGCAGTGCGTTTGTGTGAATTAACAGCTCCGAAAAGAAACCATATCTGGTCAAAGTATTCAGCTGTCACATGCGCTATATATAGTGTGGGATAAGCGCTGTCTGAAGTAAGTGAGAATGATAGACGCTCCGGCACTAACACGCTTTGTTTTCCTCATAACAAAAAGTCTCAAACACATGTAAAGCTCGGTGAAAACAGTTTATTAGAAGATAAATAATTGGTTTTCAGGTTTGAAATGTGTTTTTAATGTATGTATATAGAAGTTATATATCTGGTAAGAGGCAGCTCAACTCTAGTCAGTGACTTATTAAATGAAGTGGAAAAGCAGTTTGTTTGCTGAAATGGAAATGTGTTTATAATTACTCGTTTATTGATTGGGGAAATCTAAACTGGAGGTATGATGGAGTTTACTGGTTAATGTCCTTCTGTTGTTTCCACCAAGGGCAAAGGAGATGGTTTAAAGAGCAGAGGCCATCTTTCAGTTTGACTATAGTTTCCTTATCCTTAGATGTATTCTCATACTATATATTATATAACTCCATTTATCTGATGTTTAAAATCATTCTGTACTATTTTTTATACATTTAGCATGTTAACTAGAGAAACAGCATATCTGCAGGGTCTCAAAATGTCTTAATTGTTAAAATCAAAATTGCAGGCCTTACTGAAGTTACTGAAAGTTACTGAAATAATGTAGTGTTACCCTACAAAATGCTGGGTCCACACAATCGATTTGTGTTGGGAAAACATAAGGGAATTAAGTTAACTTATTAGTTTTTACAAATTTAAGTGGATCAAGCATAAAACAATTGAATTGTCTAAAAAAAATCATCAAGAGTTGTGTTGATTTAGCTCAATTTAAATAAGTAGTTTGAACAAATAGCAAACATGGTTTTTGAGTATAATCGTTTTAAATGGTCTTAATCCAATTCCCAACAATAAATCTTAATTAAACTTAGCAAAACTATAATCATAACTAATATTCAGAGTGTATGAGGGGTCTTAAAATGTCTTAAATTTCAAAAACTGAATTTTAGGATTTCAAAAGTTACATTCACTGTAATATCGTCTTAAAGGTCCTAAATCATTTTAAACGGCTCTTAATTTTCCTTTATGTAAAGCTACCCAATACAACACGTATCCAATCACCAACAATACATCTCAATGAAGCTTTTTGCAAACTCTGTTTATAACTAATATTGTTTGTTGTGCATTTAGTTTGTTAAAGTTTTTATTTTTAAAGAGTTTTCTTTTTTAATTAATATGTATACATCTAGGGTCTGCTTGTTTTGACATTATTTAAAATATGTGGCTAAAAAATAACGAGTTAGTTGTTTGATCGGCAAGTAAAAAAATAATTTCTACTGGCCCATATTTAAAAATCCTTAGCGTTTTGACCTATGTAAGTCAAAAATGTCATTCTTGATACTCTTTAAAAGGTCTTTAAAAGTTTTAAATTCACTGAAATATTGTCTTGTAGGTCTTAAATCGTTTTAAATGGGTCATAATTTTCCTTTGTTATTGTAAAGCTACCCAATAAATTCAACACACATCCAATCACCAACAATACGTCTCAATAAAACCCTTAGCAAAACTATTTATAATTGATATTATAACAGTTTGTTGTGCATTTAGTTTATTAAAGCTTTTTTTTTTCAAAGAGATTTTTTTTATTAGTAGGGGCTGGTTGATTTGACACATTATTTAAAATATGTGGCTTAGAAATAACTAATTAGAATAATTTTTTGTGGGGCAAGTAATTTGTTTTTCTGCTGGGCCATTAAGAAATCCTTAGTGTTTAGCCCTATATAAGTCTCAAATTTTATTCCTTGTGGTCTTAAAAAGTCTTACTATTCACTTGGTGAAACCTGCAGAATGCAAACTAATGTTCACTGGCACATTTAAATGTCAAGGCTGCAAATTAGTAAAGCATATTTACTGTCCATAGTTAAAACAAAGTTAGATTTTTCTGCTTGCCATTATGAATATGAAGAAGCACCTCGGATGCGTTGAATAATCTACGTATACACTGTGCTACTGTATAATGCTGATTTTCATCAATGCCATCTACACTACCTGACAAAAGTCTTGTCATCAAAACCAGTTGTAAGAGCAACAAATATTAACTTGACTTCTAGTTTATCATTAGGAAAAGTGGCAGGTAGATTTTTCCGATGAATCATCTGTTGAACTGCATCCCAATCATCATAAACACTGCATAAGACCTACTGGAGCCTGCATAGAGTCAAGATTCTCAGAGAAATCAGTCAAGTTTGGTGAAGGAAAAATCATGGTTTGGGATTACATTCAGTATGGGGGCGTGTGAGAGATCTGCAGAGTGGATGGCAACATCAACAGCCCGGGGTATCAAGACATTTGTGCTGCCCATTACATTACAAACCACAGGAGAAGGCAAATTCTTCTGCAGGATAGTGCTGCTCCTCATACTTCAGCCTCCACATCAAAGTTCCTGAAAGCTAAGAAGGTCAAGATGCTCCCAGATTGGCCAGCCCAGTCACCAGAGATAAACATTATTGAGCATGTCTAGTGTAAGATGAAGGATGAGGCTTAGCAGATGAATCCAAAGAATCTTGATGAACTCTGGGAGTCCTGCAAGAACGCTTTCTTTGTCATTCCAGATGACTTTATAATAAGTTATTTGAGTCATTGGAGAGATGTATGGATGCAGTCCTCCAAGCTCATGGGAGTCATACACAATATTAATTCTTTTTCCACTGCACCATGACTTTATAATCTATACTGCATATACTGCTTTATATTCTATTGTGGTAAAATAAGTGTAATCTAGAGGCCTTTGCCTTTCATATAAGCCTCCTCTGATACCAAATGATCAACTAAAAATCAAGTTATTATTTATTGTTCCTAAAACCTGGATAGGCAACAAGACGTTTGTCAGGTGTAGCGTACATGAACTGTTTTGAACAGGCCTATTAATGTATCTGTTTCTCTTGTCCTCTCTAAGGTCTTGTGGTTCGGGGGCTGAACAGTTCCTGCTTCTTTCGTTTCTTCTCTTTTTTTTCTATCCCCTCCTTCCCCCTTTTTGTCATTCATCATGCTTCGTAAAGAGATGGAGAAGTACCGGGATGTGGATGAGGATGAGCTTTTGCAGAAGCTCAGTGAAGAGGAGCTCCGGAGACTCGAGGATGAACTTGAAGAGCTTGATCCTGATGTAAGTGCACTTGAAACACATCTCAGATTAGACCTTAAGAGCTTCATTAATTCCCACACAATTCATGTGCACGTACAGCTCAGTTGTCTCTGAATGCTGCTTTAAGAAAGGTTCATAAATGCCTATACTAAAGCTCCTTTTCTTTTCTGGAAATTGGGTATTTGTACTGAGTTGTAACATAAAGGAAGCAAGTTGCATTTTTAGTTTATTTATTTTTGATTTTTTAAATTATTATTATTATTATTGTTTGGTGTTGGAAATTGTTTCAGTCCCTTTTTTATCAAATAAATGTGAATGCCCTCAACAGTGGACTCTGCATGGTCACCATCCAAGTTAAATGCAAAAAATTAAGTAGCAGCATGTAGTGAACCCCCACACACACCCAAAAACCATTATGGGCAGCCATTTGCATAGAGAGCTTTTAGGGTTTTAGGGTGTTTTGTGCAAGGGCCTCAAAATGAAGATTGAATGTGGAAGAGAGCATCGTTCAAGCTGAACCCACAACCTTAGGTTACAAGTTCTACTCACTAAACAGTAGACGACTGTAGAAATGTAAAAATACCACTTTATTCCTGTGGTCTTTGCTGGTCTGAACTGTGTTTTTGGTTTGAACTATTAGATACTGTAGTTTTAAGTACATAAACACCGGTGTTTGTTTTTACATTTACATTTACATTTAGTCATTTAGCAGACGCTTTTATCCAAAGCGACTTACAAATGAGGACAAGGAAGCAATTTACACAACTAAGAGCAACAATGAATAAGTGCTATAGGCAAGTTTCAGGTCTGTAAAGTCTAAGAAGGGAAGTATTAGTAGTATTTTTTTTTTTTTCTTTTGAACTTCATTGCTACTTAGTTTGGTTTCTTTGTTTGGACTTTTGGTGTTGTTCAACTAGTCTGCTGGTAGTTTTATAGTATAATCGTGTTTGTTTCACTGATCTGTTTTGTTTTGATCCGTGTTATACCTCTTTGCCATTTTGTTTAAGAAGCTCACTCTATTTGTGTGGTTTTGTTTGTCTGGACTGTTGTTTCACAGTTATCGAGACTATTTTTGTGATGTATAATGTTTGATATTTGCTATAAGAAGCCCACTTTATTCCAGTGTTTTGTTAGTCTGGGCTTTTGTTGCATAGTCAACTTTGATCAGCTTATCTTTTTTCATTTATAAATGATGGTTGTTTGACAGGAATGTGTTGCTATACCTAATCTGGTTTGTTTGCTTTCCCTGGACTTTATTTTTTAGTGGTTTTTGTTTGACTGGAGGGTTTCATTTTAGACTTTTTTGTACCTTATTTAGGGCAATACGATGATATCTATATCGTATGGATGAAATAAAAAGACTGTCATTTCATATTATTCTATATTATCGTATTATTCCTATTATAGTTTATTTTTTTGTTGTCTCGTAAGAATAAGTTGTTTATGGTAATACTATGCTTTCATCATTTGAATGTCTGCAGTTTTCCAAGCCAATACATGGATGCAGGCATAAATGTGAATAACAGTATGGCGAGAACGTTGCAAGCTTGAAAGTACAATGTTTACATGTTGTATTTTAGTTAGTAATGTTTTATATTAGGCATGCAATTATCATTAGATGTTGAAAAGCGCAGGCAAAGTGCTGTCGATTGACAGCAAGAAGGTTGCTGATTCGAGCCTCGGCTGGGTCAGTTGGCATTTCTGAGTGGAGTTTTGTTCTCCATTTTCATGGGGGTTTTCTCTTGGTGCTTCGGTTTCCCCCACAAGTCCAAAAACATGTGGTACAGGTAAATTGGGTAAGCTAAACTGTCCGTAGTTTATGTATGTGAATGAGAGTGAATGGGTGTTTCCCAGTGATGGGTTGCAGCTGGAAAGGTATCCGCTGCTAGGGCTTAGTGGCCACATACGTGGACAGCACATTTTAGCTCCTATGTCTTTTGTTTTATATTTTGTTACAGGCATACAGTGTCATCCTGCAACTGTTTTGCAGCATATGAAATGTCCCAAACACTATTTTAACAGTCCAAAATGGGCAAAAATTTTTTTTTACTGATAGTCAAAACATGTTCAAAAATATGTGTGCATGTGTTATTAATGCATTAAAGAACATTCAGGAAGAAAACTGCTGTGTTCAAGGCAGAAATAAAGTGTTTTTCATTCTTTTACACAAAAGTGACTTTATTGTGTTTTATGGAAATTTGGACCTCGAGTCCATATATTTGGACATCATTTTTCTCTAAAAGTACATCATATCAAAAGATGATACTTAGGTTTTATTCTAATTAGGTTCCAATAAGCCCAAATAGCAAAGAGAAATAAAAAATGCATGTAAAAAAAGAGCCTTAAGAGGTTACACATATGCTGGATAAGTTAGTGGTTCATTCCGCTGTGGGGACCCCTGATTAATAAATGGACTAAGCCGAAAAGAAAATGAATGAATGTTGAAAGGCATTTAATATTTAATATTTATTTTCTTAATCAAACATTTGCCATGAAGTTCTAAATAAAGTGAGGAAAAAAATGTGTATAAATCATTACATTTTATAGTAAATACTTTAGGAAAATTAGTTCATGTATATGTATTAAGTGTGTATATATACAGTAGTCATTATTTGAAAAACTTTCATCAAAATTCATTGTTTCACTGTAGTTTTAGTTTGAGAAAAACACTTTCTTGTTGCAGTTTTTGTTTTTCAGGGCTGCTGTGTTGCATCACACTGACATTTCAGAGTTCACTATCACAGTCAGGACTGAGACGTTTCACAGTGGCTGCTGGAGTGGGCATTGTTGTATTGCAGTGGTATTTTTGGGAACACTTTGTAATAAAAAGTGCTTTTTTTCTTACTCAGACCTCAGTTTTATATTTGCTCTTCAGGAATCTGCTTTAGCTCCAGCATCTAAGCACTTCTTGACAGATTTAGACACAGTTTGAAGATAAATGGCCAGCTGAAGAGGCGAGGGAAAAGAGAATTTCTTCTCCCGTGCTGAAATGTTCAACCTGAGGTGCAGAAGTTTACCATAAATACTGCTGCTGGAACAAAAACTAATCTGCACGAATGTAACAAAAATAAACATTCCCCACCAAAGCAGAGCCTTTCCCCGAAACATTAAACTGTGCTTTAAATGTACTAGTGGAAATCTCTATTTTAATTATTTTAAATGTCACTTTAGGATTCATCTCAGCCTCCATTTTCTTGGGTTTTATCTGAACTTAGAATAAACAGTTTTAAGTTGTCCTATATAGTTCTGTTCTGTCTGAGATGCGGTGTGTTCTGGATTCTGTCACCACATTTAATGCGCACATACATATACAGTACACATCCCCCCGTCGCTCTGCGGCCCTTTTTTCTGGATATGGGCTGATAGGCCTTGACTTAGAAGAATGTTATCATTGCTCGATGTGTTTCAGGCCGCACAAGAGCACTACACCCAAGAGAGAAAACCTGGTTTAGCTCAAGCTTAAGAAATCTGATAAAGTCGGATCAAATTTAGGGCACTTGATTGTCAGGGTGTCTGCGGGGACTTAAAATGTCTTAAATCTCAAAATCAAAACGATAGGCCTTTAAAAGTTTTAAATTTACTGAAATATTGTATTGTATGTCTTAAATCTTTTTTAAACAGGTCTTAATTTTCCTTTGTTCACGTATAGACCATTTCATTGTGGTCATGTCATTGACCCATTAACATTTCTTTATGTTATCAAACTATTTCATAACTGTAACAAGAGGCAATTCAATCAAAACGTCATGTTAAAACAGCTATCATAACATTATTTATCAATATGTGGCTCTTTTTGTATTCTAGGAAACTATAAAAATTAAAAATGTAAAACAGGAAAGTGTTGGGACCATTGTTTTTGTTTAGATCCATCAAAATGGTGTATTGCTTGCCAATCTGGCCAACACCCATTCAATCACCAACAATAAATCACCTCAATAAAACATTAAACTTTTTGTTTAAAAAGTAATTGTACTCTATTTACCCTAATGGTTTAGTTATTTTCCTTACAATAACATTTGTTTAAAATTGCTCCATATATTTACTGCTGAGGACACTGACCTGGACAGATTGTTGTGCATAGATTTAGTTCATTATAATTTTTTTCAACTTTTAAAACATGTTCTTATTTATTTTGAAGGAAGTTTATGTTGTAAAAAAAGTGTATGGATACATGTAAAGCTTGCTTGTTTTTAATTTTTATTAAATTATAACTGTCTTTGATAAGACAAATAAAAATTGTCACCCATAGTGGTCTTAAAAGTGTTCTTAAAAAGTCTTAAATTTAACTTGGTGAACCCTGCAGAAATCCTGATTGTACTGTAAGGGTATCAGTTAGCATGCTAAATTAAAACAATTGGTCACCATAAAATTATACTTTCATTTACTCACCCTCAGGCCATCTAAGATGTAGATTACTTTTTTCTACAGTAGGACAAATATTTATTAGCTTGAAAGGATTAATAAAATGGAGATGCATGTCTTGAGGCACAATTTGAGTAAAGAACATATACAAGAAATAAGTAAAAAAAAGTTCACTCAAAAATGAAATGTGCTCACTCTCTAGTGGTTCCAAACCGTTACAAGTTTTCTTTTTTTGTTGGACACAAAAGAAGATATTTTGAAAAATGTTAGAAACCTGTAACCATTGACTTCCATATAGAAAAGATTAATGCTATCAAAGTCAATTGTGACATTGATCCCAGCATTTTACAAAGTAAAGTCTTTAGTGTTTTAAAAAAAAAAAACTCAGAACAAACTCAAACAGGTTTGTGACAATTGAAGGTTTTCAGAGTGAACTATCTCTTTAATACCCTTGAATCTTGATAATGCACAAGGCATTATGAAGTGAATAGTTTATACTTTCTAAGAAATGAAAAATATTTACTTAAGTATTGCCTTTACACAATTATTACTGTTATGTAAGATGTAGATGACTTTTTTCTTCAGTAGGACAAACATTTATTCGCTTGAAAGGATTAATAAAATGGAGATAAATGTCTAGTGGCACTTTTTGAGTCAAGAACGAATATGTACAAAGTGAAAAAGTAAAGTAAATTTATAGTTCACCCAAAAATAAAAATGTACTCATCCTCTAGTCAGTGGTTACAAACCTTTATAAGCTCCCTTTTTCTCTTGGACTTCATCTTTTTCTGTATTTTGTGTTTAAGGAAAAACGAAACTCAAACAGGTTTGTGACAAGTGAAGGTTTCCAGTTTTGAGTGAACTATCCCTTGAAAGCCCATGGCTCTTGAGAATGCACAATGCCTTATGAAGTGAATAGATTATACTCTATAGGAAATGAAACAATATTTACTCAAGGATTACTGTTATGTAAGGCGTGGATGACTTTTTTCTTCAGTAGGGCACAAATATATTAGCTTTAAATAATTAATTAAATGATAATAAATGGTTAATGACACTTTTGAGTCAAGAACACATACAAAGTAAAGAAAAATTAAAGAAAGGTATAGTTATCCCAAAAAATTTAATTTACTCACCGTCGAGTGGTTCCAAACTTTTATGAGTTTCCTTTTTCTGTTGGACACAAAAGAAAATATTTTAAAAATGCTAGAAACCAATGCTATTAAGCTCAATGGTGACATTGATCCCAACATTTTACAAAGTAACTTTTTGTGTGTTTATTAGAAAAAGAAACTCAAACAGGTTTAAATGAGGGTTGAGTAAATAATGACATGGTTTTCAGTTTTGGGTGAACTATCCCTTCAATACCCATGACTCTTGATAATGCATAAGCTCTCATGAAGTGAAATTATTTTATATTTAAATAATATATACTCAGTTATTACATTTACACAATTATTTCAATTGTTTATCAGTCACATTATGAAGCATGTACTAGTGTAAACTTTCACCTAAACTCATACTAAAAATCTTCTTTAATGTTCTACTGAAGAATAAAAAGAGTCACCTACTAACAGGATGGCCTGAGAGTGAATTAACTGCAAATCGTAATTTTGGCGGGACTGTCTCTGTATTATTTCAATATGCTAGTTTGATTTCAGAACTAATGTTTTATGGATGAAATTGTTTTCAGAATGCACTGTTGCCGGCGGGATACAGACAAAGGGATCAGACTAAGAAAGCTCCGACAGGAACGTTCCAGAGAGATAACCTTCTGGCTCACCTCGAGAAACAAGCTAAAGAACATCCAGACCGGGATGATCTAGTTCCCTACACTGGCGAGAAAAGAGGTGAGAAATGCAGAACAATGAGAACTTTTAGAAAGCAGTCTTTTCAATAAATCTTACCTAAACGATTCATTGTTCACAGTGAATGTGCTTTTTAAATCTGAAGTTTTCATTTTTTTTGTCCTTAAATTAATTTAAATTTTTGACTCCTTGTTTAGTATGATTAGAATCAGATGTTGGAATTAGTAACAATGTACAGTAACGAGAGGTGTTACGAGACGCTTACTCCACGAGACGAGACACGAGACGAGACACAAGATTTGGTTCACAAGAACGAGACGAGATAATATTTTTACAGTATTTTTAAGAAATCTTCAATTATGAAAATGTTTTATTCAGCTAAAAAAAAGGACAAATTGCAAAACTATTTAGGTGCTTTTTTCAAAATGAACTTGTAATGCATGTTATTGTACTTCTGTTTTAATGAATTGTATGCAGTGAAGGCCATGCAAACACTGCAAAATATTTGCTAATATATAATTAGATATTATTCAACTGAAGAAAAATCACAAAATGTAAAACTATTCAGGTGCTTTTAAATCAACTTGTAATGAATGTTATTTTACATTTAAGGAAGTGTGCCGTAAAGGACATGCAAACACTGCTAAACAAATAGCTATAAACTACTGTCTGGCTTCTTCCCTGTACAATTTCACGTGAAAATCAAAAGCCTTTGCACAAAATGAACTTTTTTTGTAATATTAATAATTAGACTGTGCAAGTATTCAGTTTAAATGCATTTTTGTCAACCTCTGCAAGTGGCAGCACTTATTAAGCATCTTATCAAATACTCAGAAATGTGTTGACAGAACAGGATTAAGCACTAAATGTTGAACTTGTCCATTAATGTGTACACTGCAAGTGTTAAACAAGCATTTTAATGCTGAAATGATGCCACATACTATATATTTTTTAAATATTTAATATATACAGTTTAATACATTTTCCCCTTGCTCTCTGTATTTGTGTAAATGTGTGTTTAAAGGAAAACCGTGGGTGCCCAAGTCAAAAGTTGTTGACCCTCTTCTGGAAGATGTCACCCTGGAGCCTGAACTAGAGGAGGCCTTATCAAGCGCTACAGATGCTGAACTGTGTGATATAGCAGGTACAGTACAAGGATTTAACATTCATACATTCATAGGATTCAAGACAATAAAATGTGTATTTATGATATGTGTATATATAATTCTAACATTATGGGCCCTATCATACACCCGGCGCAGTGTGGCGCAAGGCGCAGCGCAATAGTCTTTTGGTAGTTTCAGCTTGGCGCAAGAGTCGTTTTGAGGCGTTGCGCTACGCTGTTTAAATAGCAAATGCATTAGCGCTCATTTGTGCGCCCATAGGCGTTCTGGTCTAAAAAAGGAGGCGTTCTGAGGTGGACCGCTGGCGCGTTGCTATTTTTAGAATCTATAATAGATTTTTCATTAGACCAAAACTAACCCGGTCTAAACTCCGGCGCAGAGTTGCGCCTCGCTTACACACTGCTTAATACGCACAAGAGAGCAATAGGCAAATATCTTTACATATGAAAAAATGTAAATATTAAGGATATATATAGTATATAAATATAAAGGATTAAAATATTACAAAACATATTATTTTCTAGCCTACATAAATATGAAAAATCACAGCTTTTATGTCTTCTTCATCTCGGGAGGCTTTTTCAGTTCATTCATAACAATTTGCTTTTGTATAATGTTATTATTATTAGCAGTATTATTTATTATATCCATATTTATATTTGTTTTATTAAAAACAAGCTTAGATTTGCCCACCTGTTTAGGATAAAACTCAGGTTTTTGAGCACATTTTGTTATTATTGTTCATTTATTCGTAGGCTGGAAATTAGAACTGAATTTAGAAATAGTTTTGAAACGAATATTTGCGCTTAACAAACAATAGTATTTATTTATAGACTAACTGATGCCTGTGCAAAGGTTTCCCTATCCAAGAGCGAATGTGAAAGTAGTTTCATTATCTCTCGTTCTCACGCAGTAGATGCTCTGTTTAACAGTTTTCTGTTAAAAAACTGTTAACTGTTAACTGTTTGCTTGTGAAATGCAAATTTTTTCCTCTTAGACTTACTTTGCGTCCTTTAAATAGCGAATGCGCTTATGGTGCGACGCAGCTGACTCTTAAAGGGAATGGGAGATGAGACTCTAATTGGTTTATTCTTAAAACACACCTATAACTCATTAAGAAAATAAACTCAACCCTTTTAAACCATGCGCCGAGGCGCAAGGCAGATTTCTCGTCCTTAAATTAGCAAAAACGCGTCCTGACACTCCCTGAAAGCATTTGCGCCCTGCGTTTTGCGCTCTGGGCATGGACCGTCAAAATAGAGCCCTATATGTTTATGTGCACAATGGAGTTTAAAAAAGTCATCATCCTTTAACCTTACTTCATCTTGATTAAGTCATCATTCAATTCAGCATTTTCTACTCCCTAATTTCATTATTAATTCATAATAAAACGGGTGTAACTTTATTGACTTATTCTCACTTCCTCTGTGTGTGTGTCTGTCTCACTGTATGCATCTGTCAGGTCTTTCCTTTAGTTTTCTCCACTCCATTTTCACATCTTCACTCCTCATTCTGTCTGTCCACTTCCTTGCTCCATCATTATTAGGCCACGGAATCCTCCAGTAGGTTTATCTGCAACATTGCACGCTGCTTAGTGTTTGCATGGTATGTTCAGCATCTTAAGTTATCTGCATGATCCATGATCTTGCTGTCTTTTCTCTTTTGAGACGCACTTTAAACTCACAAGAATGAGCTGCAATGTTCTTCAAACTTCATAGATTTGTTTTTAAAAAAAGGAATTGACCATACAGATTTGAAACAGCAGGGTAAATAATACATTTTTACTTTTAATTGGAGTAGTTCTCTCTGTGTGCATGTCCTGAAACTGCGTGTACCTCTTTTTTTTTCCATAACAATGACTCATCCATGTGCGCTAAAGACACATGCCTACCAAAAAAGGGGAACAACGTTTTCTGCAGGCTAAAAAAACACTCTGCTCACTGTCAGCCATTTACTTTCCCTCATTTAGCATGATGGAGCGGTTTCCTTTAAAATGAGGTCAATTGTTTTTTTCTTTGGGAATCTCAGTTTAAAAGCTTAACAGTTGTACAATATATGTACTGTACAGGCAGATTGAGCTTTATATGGGAATGAGGTTAGTTCAGTTGTCTTTGGCGCACGGTCAACAATCAGATGCGCTATATTCGACACACTCATAAATTGCACTTTCCTCTCAACTCGCTATTCAGATGTTTTGCTGTGCTTTTTCATGTTTCAGTCTGTACTAGTTGATCTGACTGCATTAATATATTAGGTACAACTTATACACCAGGTGTTAATGCAAATACCTAGTCAGCTAATCATACATTGGGAAAGCAACACATTTAGGCATGTAGGGCAACCTGTTAACGTTCAAATCAGGCATCAGAATGAGGAAGAAAGGTGATTTAAGTGACATTCACTGCATTTGGGAGGGTTAGTCCCAATGCCCTAATCACTTTGAAGGGTTTACCCTTAAAAGTGTCAGCTTTGAAGGCATAAAGGCATAGGTAACGCATTTTTTTTTTTTTTTTAGATCTTTTTATTGACATTTTACTCAATACAACAATTTCAAACACTTTTGAAAAACACAGACACATTATCTTTACTCCAAAATAGCCCCCGACTCCACTGCACAATTATTAATCTAGGGTTGCCACAGTGGAATGAACCACCAACTTATCCAGCACATGTCTACACTGCAAAAAATGCTTTTCTTGCTTAGATTTTTTGTCCTGTTTCTAGTCTAAATATCTAAAATTTCTTATATCAAGAAGCATTTTCTAGACAAGCAAAACATTTTGTTTTGAGAAATAATATGCCAATATTAAGTGAGTTTTTCCTTGACGAGCAAAATAATCTGCCAATGGGGTAAGCAAAATAATCTGTTTTTTTTTCTTTTGACGTTATTATTTTGCTTATCCCACTGGCAGATTATTTAGCTTGTTTTAAGGAAAAACTCACTTTATATTGGCATATTGTTTCTCAAAACAAGAGAATATGTTTTGCTTGTCTTGAAATTTCTTCTTGATTTAGAAATTTTTAGATATTTGGACTAGAAACAAGACAAAAAATCTAAGTAAGAAAAGCATTTTTTTTGCAGTGCATGATGGAAATCTCTCATCCTTCCACCATATTCCAAAGGTGCTCTATTGGATTTAGGTCTGGTGACTGTGGAGGCCATTTGAGTACAGTGAACTCATTGTCATGTTCAATCAACCAGTCTGAGATGATTCACGCTTTATGACATGGCGCATTATCCTGCTGGAAGTAGCCATCAGAAGATGAGTACACTGGTCAGTGCTCAGTTTGAACTGCAGCAGATTGTCTAGACCAAGCTACATGCCTAAATGCATTGAGCTGCTGCCATGAGATTAGCTGTTTAGAAATTTAGATAACAGTTGGACAGTTGTACCTAATAAAGTGGCCGGTGAGTGTATGTAAAATTAATCACAATATGCTTAGAAATATAAAATAAAGAAATAAAATTAATAGATAAAAATTTAATTAAAATGGAGGAAAGAAAAAATGACAAATAATCAACAGTCAAACCGCAAATATTAAACATAGATCCTTTCACTCTATATATGTCAGCACTGGCTGCCAAATAAAAGAACATTTTGAACTGAAACCTTGGTACATAAAATCGGTAATCCAATGACTAAAAGTTGGTGGAAATTTGTCCTTCCATTTAAGCAATGTAAGACATCGAGCTATTAATGTTGAAAAATAAAAATCATTTTTGTCTAAACTGGAATCTGTAATTAAACCAAATATTCCAACAATAGGGCAATGATTGATTGAAAAAGAATGCAGTGTTTGATTCCAATCAACTTCCCTGCCCAAAATATTATGATGTCCATCAGTTATACCCTTTGAAATACTTCATTCCTTCGAAGTAGCTAATTTTGAGAACTTCGGTTTAAAACAAAACTTCAATAGGGTGGCCATGATTTTCAGTGCATGATATATCCCATTTGCAAAGCACTACTTGATTGGATGTTGGTGCCAGATGCGCTGAGTATTTTCATCTCTTGGGTTTGAAAAGAATGGTTCGAAACTAAAAAAATATACAGTCATCAGCAACAGGCAACATTAACTCAACAGCTTGCTGCAAAAAAAGATCTGCAGAAAGCATCTCAGAATGCTCAACATGTCCAAACTTGAATCAGATTAAAGCTACAGCAGCTGAAGAGCAGGCCGGTGACACTCCTGACAGCTGAGGACAGCAAACTGAGGCTAGAATTCAAACTTGAGCATGGCAGTAGCTGGCTTTCCATCACCCTGTGTTAATGTGTATTTTGCAGCATCGCATGAGAAATATGTGATGGAAATGGCCTTAAATCGCAAAACAGTTTGGATGCTTGCATGAGGTGGTTTTGGACTTGGCAAAAAAGTGTTAACGCAAATAATGAGAAAAGGAAACACAGTAAGTAAATAAACTTTAATATATCGAACATTACACCCACGTGACTAAAGGTAATACTTCTAATGACATTAAAAAAGAACTGAAATGTACAGTGGCCGAGGGAGCTTAACGTGCTGCAATTTAAGTAAGTAGTAATGACAATTTTGAGCAAAATCCATACCAAAATTAATTTCGTTTTGAAAGTCACCAAAGTGAACTTTTTGGGGGAGTTTTTTTTTTTTCCTAATTGTGCTTGAGCTATCATTGGTCTGTGATGGTCACGCAATCAGTCAGTGTGTCCTGGAACGCCTTTTGAAGTAACTCTTCGTATTTAAGCGGTTCCGTGTCGGAGAGGAAAAAACATCCAGCACAAAAACACAAAAATAGCAACATGGATAAATGGAGGGTAGAGTAGCAGAACAGGTTCAGATGTGTCCGCACCTGTACTATCGCTCACAAAGAGACTTTAAAGATACAACTGCATTGTGCCACTTCTGATAAACTTCTAAACATCGTCCATATAGAAAATAGAATGCAATATGGCATGCCAGGCTGGTGCTTCTTGCTGGAGAAGCCTGTTTGGCTTCTGTGAACCTGTTATTCTCTCACACCCTCTTTGTGGTTGTGTTTAGCGGTCCACTCGAGCAGTGTGACACATTTACAACCCAGCAAACTGTAGCGTTTTCAAACTTTGTTTTAGGCCTCAAACAAAGAAGAGAAAGGAATTCTGATGCCTTAATTGGCTGTCTCCATTATGTGTGCTGTGTTTACTGTTGGTTAGTAAGTAATAGTCAGCCCCTCTAACAATTCGATTGAAACAAACCAAATTCACATTTTGGATTTGTTTTAGACTTTTTTTTACAAACTTTGTAAAGATTCGCTTGATGTAAAGATGGAAACCCAGCCACTCAAACACAATCAGCGGATCTCTATCCATTAGAGCAGCTTTAGGATGTGGCGGAAAGGAAGATTGCCATCACTGATGTGTAACTGACAATTTTGCAACTGTGTGATTAATATTATGTCAATATGGAGCAAAATCTCTAAATGTTGAATTGTTGAAGCACATTGTTGAATCTATGTGTAACCACGGGGAGTGACACTGACAACAGAAGGTAGGATCCAAATGCAGTTTTAATCGTAGTCAGGCAAGCAATGGTCAATAAAGGTGTAAACGGGTATATTGAGACAGTCCAGAATCATAGTCGAATAACAGGCAAGGAGGTCAGAAAGCAGGCGGCAAACAAGGACAAAAGGATAAACTAGGCTAAGGTCAAAACACGGAGAAACAAGACAAGGAAAAGGCGTTGTAGTGTTACTATTACAGTTAACAAGACTCGGCAAACTGAAGGGGTGAATGTGTGGCTTAAATAGTGTGTGTTATCAGTCTTTGACAATCCTCAGGTGGTGCAGTGCAATCAGTCTAAATGAGGAAGCAGGTGTGTGGGTGAAGAGCATGTATGAAGTTGAAGTCCATTTAAAAACACATTTGTAGTTCTGTGAGTGAGAATGTTTTCCAGCGACCTCTGGTGGTTAGAGATCGCTGGTGAATGTGACACTATGCCACATTGAAATAAGGTTGCTCTTAAGAAAAAAAGAGGTTTAACCAAGTCCATACAAGGTGTAGCTAATAAAGTGGCCAGAGAGTGTGTTATAAGATATGATATTTTGTATGTGTATAAAATTTTACATGATTCATTTATTCATTGTCCTTTGGCTTAGTCCCTTATTTATCAGAGGTCACCACAGTGGATTGAACTGCCAACTATTGCGGCATATGTTTTATGCAGCGTATGCCCTTCCAGCCGCAACCCTGTACTAGGAAACATCCATACACTCTCATATTCACCCAAGCACTGAAACACTACAGGCAATTCAGTTCATTCAATTCACCTATAGCGCATGTCTTTGGACTGTGGGGGAATCCGGAGGAAACCCACATGAACATGGGGAGAACATGCAAACTCCACTGAGAAATGCCACCTAGCTCAGTTTGGGACTCGAACCAACAACCTTCTTACTATGAGGCTACAGTGCTACCCACTGAGCCACTGTGCCACCTATGAAATACATACAAGTCCAAAATAGCAGACACAACTCCTTTCATTAAGAAGGCCATATGAATGGTGGCTAATTATACTTTATTATAAATTATATTATAAATTATAAAGTTATAAATTATATAACTTTATTACTTTTTATACTCTAAGCTTGACTAACACTATAAGCAGGGGAAAAAAAGACTGTGACCCCTTTCCTTCCTCAACGTCATCCATCTTCAGCTTTTCCCTGCTTTCTAAATGTGAATTTCTCTTTCTCTTGCTGCAGCTATTTTGGGCATGCACACACTGATGAGCAATCAGCAGTATTATGAAGCTCTAGCCAGCAGCACCATCGTCAACAAACAGGGCTTGAACAGTAAGTCCATACAGCAGTCGTCTTGTACAGTATTTTTGACTGAATTGATATTTTATATTTGCTGGATTTATTTGTCAGTCATGTTTGATTTAGTGCATTCAATGTATTAGCATTAATGTGAATCAAAAGTAAATGTAATAATCAGTATGTATAAGATAGCATAGTCCTATATTATAGTTCACCGTCAACATTTTCACATGAGATTTACCAGTAACTTTTACAAATAATTACAAAGATGATTAATCAGATGTGAAATAGACAGATTTAACTGGTCATATCTTGTAGGTTTATTTGCACCTTCACTTTTTTAACGATGAATATCAATTTGTTTCATTAAAAATTATATTTTAGTAAGTAATTAAACATGCCTCAGTTTAAAATCTACTTTAATATAAAACTAACTTGCATCTAAAAGCAAACGATTGGTCTTAAATATATTTGAGGCATTTTTGCTATAATTTTTTTTTAAATAATATATTTGTTTACTTTATTTATAGACATTTTTATGTAAACATAGCACCCAAAAGTGTACATCATGTACTGTTATATATATATGTATAGCTGAAGTCAGAATTATTAGCCCCCCAGAATTATAAAAAATTAAAAACAGCTTTTATTGTTGCCAAAATAAAAACAGGACTTTCTCCAGAATGAAAAAAAAAAAATCAGAATTTAATTAATTTAATTTATATATATATATTAACAAAATTATAACATGCACCAAAACACCAGCAAACAATACAGCAATTTTACAGCACCATCAAAACAAATCTTAGCCAGACTAATGGAATAAAAAACAAAATAGAAGGACATGTAAAAAGGAAGGGTAAAAAAGTTACAAAAAAAAAAAAATTACAGACTTTATTAACCTATAACTATGATTGTAGTAATAATTATAAAAGGTTGAATGATACAAAAACTGGTTTTGTTAACTTCTTTTTAAACTCTTGTTCAATCTAAGAGCGTTAGAATTTATCCAAATAACAAGCCATGGATAACTAAAGATCTCAAATATTTTTTAAAAATGAAAATAAAATAGCTTTTTTGCAGAATGATCAGCAGAAGGTAAAGGAGTTAAATAGAGTAGTTAAATGTAAGATAAAAAGTGCACAGAATTAATATAAAGAAAAGGGTGAGCAGAAAAAACAACACATGTAAGAGCAGCATGGAAGGGACTAGACATATTAATGGGTAGACAAAAGAAAACAGGTTAACAATATGAGGATCCTTACGGTCTTGCAAATTATCTTAACACATACTTTTCAAGATTTGATCATGTTAGTAATGTAGATGTAGTAGGAACTGAGACTCAGTCACAAACCATGATCATACAGGAAAGAGAGGTTTTAAACAGTTGACTTCTTTGATTTTCTATGGAATGTAATACATTTCTGCTTTGAATAAAAGTGTCTGCCAAATGCGTAAATATACAAACAAATGCAATTCAACGTGTAAGTGTGGCTTGTGGTTAATGTGAGTAATTGTATACTGTGTGTTATTCTATTAATGGGATGTAGTATTGTATTATAATGTCTGGCACAGAACTGCATGCTTTGTTGTAATTCAAAGACGTATTATATATACACACAGGTGTAATCCAGTGTACTCAATATAAGCCAGTGCCAGATGAAGAGCCCAATGACACAGATGTAGAGGAAACACTACAGAGAGTCAAGAGCAACGATCCAGACCTCACAGAGGTGAACCTAAACAACATCAAGGTGCCAGTCGCTCTCATTTATTTACACTTTCTCTGGGATGTTCTGTATTTCGATATGTAGTTTTGATGGTTTTCTCCTACATGCATGTTGGTTTTTTCTTTGTTCTGGTGTTCCTTAGAATATTCCAGTGCCAACTTTGAAAGCATATGCTGAAGCTCTTAAAGGGAACAGTGTTGTGGAACGTCTCAGCATCGTTGGCACCAGAAGTAATGATCCTGTAGCCTTTGTGAGTTCAGAGTTTTCATACAGTAAAATTATGAATATATAATCAATCAATAGATCAGTAGTGGTATATGATATTTAATAAAACTAAAATATTATATTATTTGTGAAAATACAGTTAAATATTTCCCAAGTGATGTTTAACAGAGCACTTTTTAACGATGCATTTTCACACATTTTTTCTTCTGGAGAATGTCCTATTTGTTTCTGTTTGCCTGCAATAAAACCATTAAAATATTTTTCAAAATATTTATAAGGTTAATATTATTAGTCTCCTTAAGATTTTTTTTTAAAACAACTGTTGTCCTAATCAACCTATTTAAGCTATTAAATTGCACTTTAAGCTTAATACTAGTATCTTTCAAAATAACTATAATGTACTGTCATCATGGCAAAGACTGAAGAATGTAGTTATTTTAAATGAGTTATTAAAATTATTATGTTTAAAATGTGTTTAAAAATGTTGTCAATTAGCATTCTGGAAATATTTATAAAGGAATTTAAATTTTAGAGGGGAGCTAATAATTAGATTTCAATTTATGTAAGTTCAATGTAAATACAAAAAAGCTAAAATTTATTCAACTGGAATGCATTTAATTGAAATAAAAGTGACTGTAAATAGATTTATCATTTAAAAAAGTTTTTGCATAAATACTGCTTTTAAACAACCTGCTGTAGAAGTAATATTTACCACAAAATATTGACCAATTAGAAAGAGCAACTGTTTTTAAATTAGATTTTACAAACAAAATCAAACAAAATTGAGTTTTTCACAAATCAGTATTTCACAATGATTTATAAAGAATCATGTTAAACTATGAACTTTGTTTTAAGGACATTTTATTTTTTACTATTCTATGACTTTTGCCCCAATAAACTCCTACACTGTAAAAAAAATCTGTTAAAAACAGTCAAGAGACTGGCAGCAGGGCTTCCACAGATATTCTGTTAAATTTCAGAAAATAACCATATAACAAAATTACAAGCAAACACTAAAAATACAGAACAGACTTTTTGGTCAAAATTCATTAAATTACAGTTTCTTACTGTTGATAATTTGCATTTAAACTGAAAAAATGAAAGAAAGAAAAAACTGGTAGTCACTGCCATTTTACTAATTATTACTACAATTATGCAGGTTATTACTGTTATTTCATATATTATAACTGTAAATATATATATATATATATATATATATATATATATATATATATATATATATATATATATATATTATTATAATTATACAGATTAATTAATGTGATTTTAAAGATTATTTCTGTAATTATACAGGTTTTTAATGCACTAATACAAAATAATTAATATGATTATAATGGTTATTACTATAATTATACACATCAATTAATGTAATTCTAAAGATAAATTCATGTAATTATGCATGAAATCTCTAAATATTCTATTAATTTTTCCATATTTAAATTAGAAAATAAATATTTTAAAGAATGATTTCAAAGTGCTTGGATTCAAATAATTGCTGTTGTCATAAAATGATGTAAATATAACTATAAACTATAATATAGTTTAACAGATATTTTTAGGATATGCAGTTTAAACTCAAAAACAGTTTGCTTGACAAAGTACAAAACTGTTATATATCTCATTTAAATTTTTTTTTACAAATAACACATTTACTCATCATTTAACAACAAAAACAAGGTTAGTGTCATGTAAGGACGCCTGCACAACAAAGTTGAGGATCAAATAGCAGTTTACTAAGAGAATTGTCTTGCAATTAAAAGTTGAAACAGGAACAAACAGGTGCATACAGAGAATCTCAATGGTAAAGTCGGCAATAAAAAAAAAACAATCCAAAGGGGTCAAGCGCGGCAAGGCAAGGGGAAATGCGTCGTAATGCTCACTAAACAATTTAAGGCTTAGCAAGGATTTGTCTGTGTGTGCTGAGTTTATAGTCCTTGAAATAAGTCCATGACGATCTTCTGATTGTGTGTGTAATCAGTCAGAATTAGGAACCCGGGTGTGCAAGGTGCATGCTGGGAGTTGTAGTTCGTTAAAGTATAGCGTATAGTTTTCCAGCGTTCGGTAGCCCCTTGATCACTGCTGATCATAACAATTAGCATAGCAACATTGTTAAAGTAGTAGAATAAACAATTTATAATTAACAGTGCATGCATTATATGCAGCCTGCAAACAACAGGCTAATATTTGGCATTATTAACCTAAAGTTAATCCTCATGAGATTACCATCTTCACTAAAAACTATTATTGTTTCCCTTTTTATACAGAAATAATCTGTAAATATTAACGTAAAATTACGTGTTACTCTGAAAATACAGAACATTTCCTTTAAAAAAGAAATATAAAATAAAAAAGAAATAACGTAACACCAAAATACAAGCAATAACTGTAAATTTAATGTTAGAATTTTTTATTACAGAAAATATCTGTAAAACAACAGGTATTTCACTTTATAATGAAAAAAATTGAAAATTCTTTAAAAAAAATACAGACAATTACCTGTAATATAACGTTTAGTTTTACAGTGTAATGAATAAATAAATAAATATACATAATAATGGGCAGTTACACTGATGTTGAAGCATTTTAGAATTCTCCGTGTTTGCGTGGGTTTCCTCCCATATACTGTTTTTAGCTAGCTCGAAATCAGTAATGCCAGAAGCTGCGATACGGGGATCTGGATCTATTGGCTTTTGGCCTATTTTTAAGAATGTTAGAAAAATATTTTCCCAAAAAGATGATCATTTTGAGCAGCTCAAAAAAAAAAAGGAGCCAGTGATGCCGGTTATAGCCCACACCGATTACATGCAGGGTCCACTCCTGGAAATAGTAGTTTTTGTTTGGACCAATGTAAACGATGTATTACTTTAGATTGTATGAGGCCATGCCATGCACATACAGATGACCTGTGGGTCTGTTCAAGGGCTCCAGTTGGCATTTCTGTGTGGAGTTTGCATGTTCTCCCTGTGTTGGCATGGGCTTCCTGCGGGGTGCTCCAGTTTCCCCCACAGTCCAAAGACATGCGCTATAGGTGAATTGGATAAACTAAAATGGTCGTAGTGTATGTGTGTAAATGAGTGTGTATAGGTGTTTCCCAGTACTGGGTTGCAGCTGAAAGGGCATATGCTGTGTAAGACATATCCTAAATAAGTTGGCGGTTCATTCACTGTGGTGACCCTTGATGAATAAAGGGACTAAGTCGAGGAAAAATGAATAAATTAGTTGTGTGATGTACTGTAGATGTATGTTTGGAATCTGATAAATATTAGACCGAAAAAAATATTTAGGCTGCATTTATTTGATCATAAGCTATCAGTAGTATTATGATGCTTAAAGCAACAATAAACTCTATTTCAAAATAATTTAAATGGATTCGAATACTGTCATACTGTTATATTTTAATGAATTTTGCCGTAATAAACTCCTAATTTTCTGCTTATTCTATAGTTTTTATGGTAGTTATCGGGTTTAGGTATTGGGTAGGATAAGGGATATAGAATTATTACAAATAAACAGCCAATATGTTAATAATAGGCAGGTAATAAGCCACTGGTTAATAGTGAGAGTTGGTACTTAAGCTACATTGTAACCACAAATACAAAATCTTTCTTACCACAGAGTGCTAGTGCGTGTGTTAAAATATTGTGTAATGGTTTGCAGGCACTGGCAGAGATGCTAAAAGTGAACACGACTCTGAAGAGTCTAAACGTGGAGTCAAACTTCATTACTGGAGCTGGAGTTCTGGCTCTCGTGGAAGCCTTAAAGAGCAACACTACACTGCAGGAGCTAAAGATCGACAACCAGGTACACACACACACACACACACACACACAAACACACACACACACACACACACACAATAATAGTGCAATTTTAGCCGTTGTCCATTAGGTCAGGGCTTCAGCCTAAATATACTGATAATGAATAGGTGATTGAAGGAATTAAATTAGTTTTGTTTGTATTTCCTATGTGTGCTTGTGTGTGTGTCATGCAGAGCCAGCCATTGGGTAACAAGGTTGAGATGGAGATAGCTAATATTTTAGAGAAGAACACTACTTTGCTGAAGTTCGGGTACCACTTCACCCAGCAGGGCCCACGCTTGCGTGGATCCAATGCTATGATGAACAACAACGACATGGGTAAGAAGTACACTCACACTGAGAAATAATTTTTAGAGCTAATTTTGGAGATTATTGAGTGATGAACTGTTAATACATGCATGTTTGAGATTTGGAAAATATTTTACTGAAAAAATTGAGGCTTAAAACAGTAATATTGTGACATATAGACATCATTTTTACTTAACTGTTTCTTATATTAATATATTCTAACTTTTATTTTGTTCCTGCGATCCAAAGCTGGATTTTCAGCACCATTTCTCTAGTCTTCAGTGTTAGATGATCCTGGAGAAATTGTTTTGAAATGCTGATTTCAACTATTCTGTTGCTTAATATTTTAGAGACAGTGGTTTTTTATTTTAGGATGTATATATCTACAAAGAAGTTAAGAGAAGTGTTTTCTGAAATAAAAATGTAACCCTTGTGTGCTCTTGGAGATGTTTCCATTATATTGAATTTAACATTTAAATTTCCTACCCTTTCGCTATATTCGGGGCTGTTTTTGCAACATTTTTTGTTTGATATCATATAATTATGCATTCTCGGTTGTTGGTTTTCTCTATTTTCACAATGTAGATTGTGTCAAAGCAGCTTAACATAGATCTAGTAAAATCAGAGTTAAAGTTCAGTTTAGTTTAGTTCAGCGTGGTTTAAATTTTACTGCTGAAAGTTCAAACACTGAAGAGCAAATCCACCGAAGCATAGCTCCACAAGTCCCGTTCCAAGCAAGCCAGTGGTGACAGTGACAAGGAAAAAAAACTTCACCAATTGGCAAAAGTGAAGGGGGAAAAACCTCAAGAGGAACTAGGCTCTGTTGGGCACGACCATTAATTTTCTGGCCAAATTTCCTTTATGGAACTGCAGTCTAGGCGCTGGAAGCTGGAGAATCTGGATGTCCATCGTGAAGAAGGTGCAGGTGTGAGTAGCTCACCGGTGGGGGGTCAGGCTGGCCCACAGGATCAATGCGGGGACTGTCACGTTGGTCTTTCAGGAATCATGTCTCATGCACTCCATTCCTCCATGACGACCACAGCAATAGCTCGGGATACTGCCTGGTCCAGGATTATGGATATCTTGGGATCATCTCTTCACAGGTCTTGGATCGCATCAATGGCACTGCATAGTCTCTAGGGACCTCGGGATGAGTATTCCCGAGAATGACGAAAATAAATAGCGCAGCTGCTGTTCAAAGTGTATTTAAACGAGATGCAAAAATGGAGTGTTGTAAAGGAAAATAGCAGTTATATAAACAAACATGTAAAGCAAATGAGAGTTTCCAACATAATGTCTGGTGTATTAAGGAGGAGGGTGTCCTGCAGGGGGTTGTCAAGCCAGCTCACCTGCGTGGAGCCCATTCATGCATCATACCATTATGCGATGCATTGAGTTTAAGCTTTACTAAAAAGATAAGTCTTTAATCTAGTTTTGAACTGTGGGAGTGTGTCTGAGCCTTAAACATTATCAGGAAGGCTATTCCAGAGTTTTGTAGCCATAAATGAGAAGGCTCGACCTCCTTTACTCGACTTTGCTATTTTGGGTACTAACAGAAGCCCTGAGTTTTGAGATCTTAAAGAGCAGGTTGGATTGTAGCGAGACAGAAGGTTGGTTAGATAAACAGGAGCTAGATTATTTAAAGCTTTTGATTTTTGATTTGATTTATTTATTTATAAATATCATACGTAAAATATCATTAACAAAAAGAAATTCATTTCAACATGGTTGAAAATGGAGTGGGATGAAGCACAAGCTTATTATTTTTCCACCCCATTACCACATACATCATTCGTTTATTACTTAAACTTATTTATTCTTTTACTTATCTCTTCTTTTTACATGAAACATATGTGATCCTTTTGGCATTGTACCTTTTCATTTTGAAACATAGACCCAAAGAAAAAAATACATAGTACTGCAAATAGAAAAAGAAACAACAACAACAACATAGTATACTGCAAATAGCCATTAAAATTTCATCATACTTTTCTCTTTTTATCCTTTTTCAATCACCTTCATCATCATATTCCTTTATTAATATATATTTTTACAGTTTTTTTATTTATTTATATCCTGACGTTGTTTTAGAGTCCGATCTAGACTGTTCCATAGTTTTACACCACGTTCAGACATACACAAACTTTTAAAAGTTGTTCTTGTTTTCAACCTCCTAAAATTTAGTTCTTCTCTCAGATTATACCCCCCTGGTCGTTCTTCAAAAAACGGTCCCTCTTTATATTGTGGCCTTAACTAATATGTACTTAAACAAGAATTAATAGTTTGTTACAATGTACTTATTGTGTAAATACATGTATTTATTGTGTACTTATGCTTGATTAAATACCCGTATGTACTGTAATTACATCTGTAATTAACTTCTGTAATTACATTAGTAAATACATTGTTGACCATCCCTTACACCTTAACCCACCCTTAAACCTACCCAAACCTGTCCATAACCCAACCCCTATCCCTAGTACCCAACTCAAGAGCACCACAAGGGTTCTCAAAAACATTAGGAACACAGTAAGTACATTATATTTATTTTTTTGATGCAAGTACATAGTAGTTAAGGACACTTAATATAAAGTGGGACCCAAAAAACTTTTGTATACATTTCGGAAGTAGTTTATTCCTAGCTTTAAACATAAATTGTGCTGTTTTAAACTTAACCAAATCATTGAACTTGAGTACCTTTAGTTTAAAAAATAAAGGATTTGTATGCTCTAAATACCCCACATGTTCTAATAGTCGAATTACTTTTTTCTGCATTGTACATATGGAGCGTAAATTAGATTTATATGTATTCCCCCAAATTTCAACACAATAACTCATGTATGGCAACATAAGTGTGTTATATAATATATAAATTGATTTATTGTCCAGGATAAATCTTGCTTTATACAATATTGGTACAGTTTTTACTAATTTTGATATCACATTATTACTTTCGGTTTCCAACTAATTTTATGATCCAATACAACACCAAGAAACTTAATTGCACACGCTCTTTCTCTAACTTCATTATCAATTTGTAAATCTACAGTATAACTACTTTGTAATTTCCCAAATACCATAACCTTTGTTTTACTTATATTTAATGACAATTTGTTTACGTCAAACCATAATTAAATGTTTTTAATTTCTGTTTTAATCAACTCCATAAGTTTTGGTAAATTATGCCCAGAACAAAAAAAATGCTTGTATCATATGCAAATAAAATAAACTTAAACAACTCTGATATCTTATACATATCATTAATCTAAATTATAAACACTATTGGACTTTTATAGGTAAGAAGCAGTATTTTATAATCAATACGAAACCTAACAGGCAGCCAGTTTAAGGAGGATAAAATTGGCATGATATGATCATATTTTCTATATATTTCTATATAGAGTTATAATATAGTGTGTGAAAGTGTGAGACCTTAGCACACTTACGTGGGTTTGAGAAAATCAAATTAAGCTCCTCTCAAAACATAGTAAACATAGTTAGTGTATTAATGCACGCACACTATTATATTGTTGTTATAGAAGCCAGAAACCTTTTTGCACACCCTATCTAAAGAGTTATTTGTGCCAACTGATGAGCAACAGTAAAATTATCTTTAGCCCCATTTACCTAAAGGAAAAACCACCGACAATCCAGAATACATGATTATATGGTGTCAAGGTGTTGCAATCAAAAAAATGTTGCATAATGGAAGTCAATGGGGCAAAAACAGCCATGAACATAACAAAAGGGTAGGACATTTTAGCAATACACAAGGGTTAATATACTGTAGCTTTGTTAATTAAACATTTTTAAACTAAAAGTTCACTCAAAAATGAAAATTTACTCACCCTCAATTAGTTCCAGACCAGGATATTTTGAAGAATGCTGGAAACCGTTAGCCATTGACATTAGTAGTAAGGGGGAAATGCGATGGAAGTCAATGGCTACTAGTTTCCAAGATTTTTTCTAACATCTTCCTTTGTGATCAGTATAAAAAAGATAGTTAAACAGGTTTTGAAAAAGTGGAGGGTGAGTAAATGATGACAGAAGTTTCATTTTTGAGTGCACGCTGTAATTTCTCAAGAACAAATCCGACTCCAAGCTTTTAAACTGATGGTATGTGTGTTTGTATTGCTGTGTTGTTGATGCATGTATGTATTTCCAGCTCGTGTTGTTCGGTCGGACTCAGACGGTGCGATCACATTCACTTTGTCAGTCCCTGAGCTGGAAAGAGCCTTCTGTAAAAAGTTCAAGTTCACGTCAAAACCCAAGTAAACACAGAGTCTTGCCCTCCTCCTCCTCCTCCCTCTCTCGCTCTGGGCTCTACCTGCTGTTTTTTGACTCTTGTATTTTTACCTCCTCGCAGTACTTCATGCCTACGGATCGTTTTGAGCTTTTGTACTTTTCCCTCCAGCTCCCTTCAGCGTCTCCTCTGCTGCATTTCCCTCCATCAAAGCAAATTCAGAACCTGTCTCTCTCCATTATCTGGTTCTTTTTTCATCATTTTGTTTTTCTGTCAGTCTGTTGTGGTCTTTGCTTGTCTGTCCAGTGGGTTGTTTTCAGGTTTAGTCTCTACTTTCTTTGAGAAAGTATTGCGGTGGGAAATATTATTCAAAATGCCCTCTGGCTTGCTGTGCATGCAAAGCTCTTTCTGCGGGGAATAGTTCACTCAAATTTGAAAAGTCCAGTATTTTACTAAAAAATGAACGACTGACTGATTTGTGTGCAAACGGAGAATTGATAGAAGGTCTCATTAAAGGTAATTGGGAATACGAGGTTCTAAAAGGATAAAGGCATAATAAAAGTAGCCCATTCATCTTCTATGTTGTATTCAAAACTTTTGAAAGCATTCAAAGTCCTCTTTATTTAAGTGAACTGTTCCTTTAAGTGCAGTTATTCACTTTCTTTCTTTTGAAATGTATAAATGCAATAAAGATTACAAAGATTTAAAGTATGCATTTTAATAGTTTTGGAAGCTTAAAAAATAAATCAATAATGTATAATTTTCTATAAAGTGCATGAAATAATTCATAGCTTTCATGCAGTTACATAATGGTTGTACGCTTTCCAACTTTTGTTTTGTTTTATTTATTCTATTAAAGAAAAAACATTCATTGTTTAATTAAAATTGATATTTTATTTATTTTAATTAGATTTTACATTTTTTGTTTATTTTTGTTTTGTTTATTTTAGATTAGTTTAGTTTTTTATTGTTTTTTTTTATTTAATTAAGTGTAAAAAATGTTTTATTTATTTTAGTTTTGTTTTGTTTTATTTAGATTTATTTTATTTAGTTTTGTTTATTTTATTTAAGAAAAACATTTGTTGTTCAATTATATATATATATATATATATATATATATATATATATATATATATATATATATATATATATAAATTTATTAGTTTATTTTATATTTTACATTTTTGTTTTGTTTTATTTTTGCTTTGACTTATTTTTGTTTGTTTTATGTTTTGTTTATTTTAGTTTTTTATGTTTATGTTTTTGTTTTGTTTATTTAATTTAATGTTTATTTTTTGCTTTGTTATTTTTGTTTTGATTTATTTTTCTTTTGTAAATTATAGTTTAGTTCGGTTTAGTTTAGTTTAGCTTTTTTTGTTTCATTTTGCTTTATTTTATTTAGTTTTGTTTATTTTATTTAAGAAAAATTATTATTGTTAATATTTAATATTTACATTAATTAAAAAAAAATTTAAAACGTATAAAATGTATAAAATATTGCATGAGGCAATAATCATTTATCTGCTAGGTAATAATAATTACATATTCTTAATATATATTTAGGGTTAGAATGCCGGTTAGGTTTAGGGTAGAATCATGCAATAATGCATTATTAATTGTAATTACTATATTAATTACATGGATGTTGTAACAAGATCACCTTAAAATAAAGCTTTACCAAAAAAATAGAATAAAATAAAACAAAAATGCAAATGTTTTATTTCTTGGAAAGTGATGTACCCTTTTTGTTTGTGTATGCAGTAAGAAAGAGAAGGCTTGAAGGAGGACCCATCTTTCCTAAATGTCGGACAAACGTGTAGCAGCATCAGGACTCCTCCATGGCCTGGGACCTGCATCACACCCCATCCCATCCCAAATCCTCCCAGTATTTCACCAGCAAGTCATCTAAAAAAACATATTGAATACAGAAAGCCATTATTGTCCAAAGCCCCTGATCTGAAGAGCTGAAGGTACCACCCTCTGTTTACCAGACACATAGTTACTCATGGCAGAGTGTTTTACAGAAGTGTAAACTACCTGCCATAACATTAGCAGGGAAAAATCACCTACTTGTGCTGATGGAAGCAGCAAAGATGAAAATGGCACTCGGTTTATCACAATGTTCTCAGATGACCTAATCTTCTAGCTGTAAACATTCTGACCTTACAGCGGGGCGTTTCGCTGTTTGGATGCTCACCAAAAGCGTCAGACTTCAAACTTGATTTATTGTAGCTGTGGTTTTGCCTTCTCTGGGCCAGTTTGATTCTCACTATAGGTTTAGTACTCACACATTGCATAGAAGCATGCTGTTACTATATGTTTTACTCTTTGGTATGCTGTAATTTTGACCTTTTTAAATGTTTAACAACTGGTAATATGATGGTTTTTAGCATGCACATTTCAGGTGAGCTCTGCTATGTTTTGTACACCAAAACTGGTGCTTATTTTTGAATCCTCATTCTCTCTTCGCTTTAAAATGAATAGATTTACTCACTTTTAAGTCAACTAATCACTCTAAAATCAATGGGTTTACTGTTTTTTAAGTTAGGTCAACTAATTGCTCTCAAATCAATGGGTTTACTCATATTTTAAGTTAAGTCAACTAATCGCTCTAAAATCAATGGGTTTACTCAATTTTTAAGTTAAGTCAACTAATCGCTCTAAAATCAATGGGTTTACTGTTTTTTTTAAGTTAAGTCAACTAGTCGGTCTGAAAACAATGGGTTTACTCATTTTTTTTTAAAGTTAAGTCAACTAAATAAGCTCCATTTTTTTAAATATTTTGTCATGTTTGGGATAAGCTGCATTTCATTTTCGCAGTTAGCAAAAACGTATGGCAGTTATTGTACTGACAGTCTTTCTTTTATTATTGCCATTTATCAAATGAATGTGGTTGATGTGTGTTCTCTATAGTCTTGCATTTCTACTGAGGATCATAGCACAGAACAGAAAATCATAAAACTACATATATTATGTTCTCATGAAGTAATGTCCAGGATATATTTCACCCAAAATCAATATTAATAACATAGGCTGCTATGATTTCTGAAATATGGAAAACGCAGACAGAATCATTAATACAGTGGTAAACACACTGTTCTCTGTCTCTTTTCTTTGTTAAGAACGGATAAGTTTAGGGAAGTCATGCTTTTCTTGTGCCCTTTTCTAAAATTACAGTTAATTGACTCATGGATTAAATAATAATGAAAGCTGCAAGCAACGATGAAAGGGACCTCGCATCCGGGCTCACCGCTGCCCGGTGGCCTTATGATGACAGAGAACAGGGGACAATAATAACTTAGGTTGAGATATACAGTTGAAGTCAGTTTATTTTTTTTCGTATTTTCTAAATGATCTTTAACAGAGCAAGGACATTTTCACAGTATGTCTGATAATGTTTTTTCTTCTGGAGAAAGTCTTATTTATTTTATTTCGGCTAGAGTAAAAGCAGATTTAAAATTTTTAAACACCATTTTAAAGACAAAATTATTAGCCCCTTTAGGTTTTTTTTTTGTTCTCAATAATCTACAGAACAAACCATCATTATACAATAACTTGCCTAATTACCCTAACCTACCTATCGTGTAGCACTAATGTAAACCATTTAATAAAAATAAAAGCATTTCTAATACTATCGATATGATTAGCGATATATAGTGCACTACCATTAGCAAACTTTTTACAGTAAAATATATTAATCTCTATAGTTAAACTCCAAAGAACTAATAAAACAAATTAAACATCGTTTTTTTTTCAAGTGGTGCTCGCTGCAGAGCCATTTGGGCGAGCTGAGCTCCAGCAAGGGCGAGCATGAGCTTGGGCTCCACCTTTTTTGCACTTCTTCTACGAGTGATGTCACTGGGGGTAGGGTTAGGGGTGGTGTTGGTGTACGCATTAAAACAGCTTATAGGAGGAGGAGCGAGAGCTCATGCTCCCCCTCTCTGGAGCTCAGCTCTGCTCAAATGGCTCTGCAGCGAGCACCCTCTCTTTTTTTCATGCATCTTGATTTTGAGGTGAAATAAACCTGGTCATGTCTTGGCAGGTTTCATAAGACTAGCCATCATATTCAGTCTGGGTTATTGCAGTGATTTACTGTAGATATTTTTTTGTCCGTGGCTGTTTCTTCAGTTTCCCAGCACAGTTAAAGTCAGTATGTTATATGGATGTAAACATTTCCCTGATGTTTAAAAGAGTAAACATTTATAGGCCATCGTCTTGTTCAAAACCAGAGGGAGGAAATATGCAGGCCTGTAATCTTTGCCATAGAGAGAGCCTGAGCTGGTGCGTGTATGTACATTTTTATTAGTGCACCTTACTGTATGTGGTTTATTGAGTTAATAAAGGCGGAAAATGTTGTGTGGAAGTGTTGCTCTCAGCAGAAACTCAGTTTACTGGGTGTCGGGAATATTTTTTAAATATTTATACTTGGAGCAGCTTACAAATTTCTGCTTACACATGATTATTGGATTTATATGTTAACAAATGCTTTTAAAAATAGTTTAAAATTAATTTAAAAGTTTAATTTAAAGTGTATTTGTATAGGCAGTGAAATTGAAGTTTGTGGCATTCTTTTCATTTACTGTAGATTGCTTTCCTGCAGTATGACAAATGTATTTTTAACCTACAAGTATATACTTCAGAAATTTAGAATTTTTTGTAAGAAGTCTATATGTAGCTATTGGTTAAAACATACAGTAAACAGGGGCATAGCAACTGGGGAGGGGGATAGGGGTGGATGGTGGAGGATACGTCCCCCTCACTTTTAAAAAACAAACCATTTAGCTACAGGTTATTAATAATTATATGAACGTAAATGTTTGGATCTTATGCAGCTTTCCCCACCCCTTTTAAAATGTCCGCTTCACCCCTGATAGTAAAATAGTAATATTGGTGATTGTTTTAAATATGGTATATGTATATGTATATATATATATATTGGTATAATATGGTGTGTGTATATATATATATATATATAAATATATATATATATATATATATATATATATATATATATATATTTATTTATTTTTTCACTATTTCAATATAGACTTCCACTCAAAAAATGTTTATGATTATGTATATAGTATGTTTATTCCAAAAAAGTAATAATAACTAACTTATATTTAAAAATGTTAAATAAATTGTATTGCTCCAATGCAGGGGTCACCAATCCTGATCCTGGAGGGCCGGTGTCCCTGCAGGGTTTAGCTCCAACCTTGCCTCAACACACCTGCCTGGATGTTTCAAGTATACCAAGTAAGACCTTGATTAGCTTGGTCAGGTGTGTTTAATTAGGGTTGGAGCTAAAATCTGTAGGACACCGGCCCTCCAGGAACAAGTTTGGTGACCCCTGCTCCAATGGAAAAAATCCTTTTTCATGACCATTGATCTGATTCTTAGTGTCACATGATCCTTCAGTTATTCAGTTATTTAGTTAGTTTAATATTGTTGTGGAATAACATTGTTTAATATTTTTTTTTTTCATAATATTTTTTCATTTATAAAAAATACAAAATAAACCATAACAACTTTTTTTCTACCAGTTTTAATCAATTGAATACATCCTTACTGAATAAAATATATAAATTCTAAACATTTTTTATATGAATTAAATAAAGTTACTATTAATTTAATTAATTGAAACTATCACTATAAATTATTTAATTAATTTTATTATAAGTTATTATCATTAATCGAAAAATAATATGATTAGTTAAATCTCAAACCTCTAAGTACCGTTTGAATTTTTCATCTAAAATGAGCATATTTCTCAGCCTTCTTTGCTCATTTTCAAATTATTTAATTTTAAAGGCAATGAAAAGAACCTCTTCTTTGCCATAAAAGTAAAATGACACACAAAATCCTGAGAGAAATGCTCATTTTAGTAAAAAATTTATGATAAAACTGTTCATAAATAAGGTAATATACATTTGTAAATTCTTCATGTGTAATATTAGCTTACTCATGCATCCTTCTACTTTTTGAAGGTTTGTATGTGTTCTGTAAAGGTATGTACGTTTTTGACTCTTCAAAAGCATAAAAATACCACACTATGTTTGCAGATATTTAAGAAACTTTGTCTTTGTTTTGGTTCTTTTAATCCGCCAATGCCTGTTTAGCCAATTATGTTTCAGCAGTGCACCCCTGGTTGCCTTGGTGGAAAACCGAATATTTCATTTATTCAGTCAGGAAGGCTCTCAAAGCCTGCGCCCGTGACCAAAATGCAACTTCCAGTGGACAGTGGCATACTCCAAAATGAGATACAGATTCAGAGTTCCACATTACGTGAGCAGGTTACAATGTAACCCTTTGTCCTAACAACATGCTACAAGATTTGCAGTGATACGCAATTTGGCTGTTATACAGCTATTCAGAAGCACAGAATATGCACTCACTCATAAAATAGTAAGGTGTATACTCTAATTAACACATATTAAACCTCTTTAACATTGGTAAATGTACATGCTGAATCACTGAAATGTGTTGGTTTTGAGTCTAAAGTTCAATTTCAAACGGTTTATTTTATTTTCAAGATCTGAGGTCAGCTATCTGCTGCTGCTTTCAGTAGTATGTCCCTTTATGTCCCATAAAATGACATTCAAACTCACATTATTAGCATTTTAACACTGGATAAAGCACATGAGGTGTACCTGAGGTGATCATAGTTCATTCTGTTGTTCACCTGTAAGAAATAGAAGCCGTTTCTAAAAATAAGTTTAGGTGTTGTTTAGGACAGAAACACCTTTTAGTACGGAAAATATTTTTTTCTATCTTATGCCGTTGCTTTTAGTAAAAAAAAAAAAAACTGTTCAAATCAGCCTTTTGGCCCAATAATCAGGCACACTCACGTCAATCTGCAAATCTGCACTTGTGCTGACTCGTCAGAGAAGGAGTCGAGTGAAAATGTGTTTTGATCCAGGAGTGCAATACCTAGTTCAACCACTGGGTGTCAGACTCATACTGCACCTTTAAATGTTCGATTGATTTCTGTTTTCAGTATTGAAAGACAAAAACAACACATGTGTGACTGGTTTATTACAGTGCCATACCCATCAATCCTCCCAACAAACAGAGCATCATTTCACCATGTTTCTTTAAATCATCAGAGCCATTCATACACTCTTACAATTTTATTTCTTGTTGTACTGCAAGCCAAGCAAACAGAAATACGTTATTATTGCTGAGAATGTTTTAGATCACAGACAAAAAACAAAATAAATAAATTCCCTCATGGCTCTAGATCAGAGAAGTTACAGTCCAGTCCAAACACAAAGAGCGTCCAAACTTACAAATCACATTTTTTTCTCTCTTTCCCCGTAAATTCAGAACTTTTTAAAGCATTTCAACAAGATTGCAAAACTGAATTGAGGCATTAAACGATGACACTACAGAGTAAATGTGACAGTAACGTTGGCCAGAATGAACTAAACGCCGTCATGACAAATGTACAAAGGTATTGTTCTTTAGCTTACAGCATGAGAAGATGTTATTGCCTTCTATATCTGATTTATCAATCTCTGCAGCGACAAAGACAAGATGTCTGAGCACACGAACACTATGGACACATGCAAGACCAGAACAGCGTCAAACGAGGAACTCTTTTACCCCCCTCGTGTTGAACGTGAAAACCTTATTTACCGATAATACAAAACAGTGGAATAGACACGATCGAACAATTCATGCATATATATATTGCTGTTTACGTATTGAATAAGAAATAACTGCCGAAGAGATGACGTGACTCAGGTAAAGATAAAATATGGCTTATATTCTCATAATTAAATCCCGCTCGCTTGATTGATTGTTTTAATCTGTCGCTAAATATCTAAAGCTCCTCACGAATCGAAATGTGTGAAAGGTAAATGGTGTTTCGCGTTTCTAGTGCGCCTTTCCTCTCGCCCAACTCTGAACACGTTAAAATAATTTTCTAAAGCTGCGAGTGCTCTATTTTTTTTCCCCGCGTGTTACTTCTTCAGCATGTCCTGCAGTGGTCCTGGTAGATACTTCATCACCGTGTCCATGATGTTTTCCTCCTCGTCATCGTCTCCGCAGCCGGACGGGACGGCTTTCTTTGGACGGGTCATACTGCCTTCGCATGCCTGCTCCATCGCCGCCGCCTCCTCCGCTTCCGCCACCTCTCGCTTCTTTATGCCGTACTGCCGAACACAATAGATTTTGTATTATTGAAATGCATTCACTAGGACACGAAAGTCTCCAAACTTAAAGTACAAATGGAATCAGAATGAACCACCGTTTGCTCACGTTGCTAGTTTTGTGGTAAACAATTCATCTCTGCTTGTCATTAAGAAAAAAATAATAGTTTGCCCTTGTATTCTAATATTAAAATTTAGTTTTCAGATAAATTCTCAGATTATGCCTGTCTGAGGTATTGGGTGTGGCTAAAATACCACTCCTGGGGTGCCAATTACTGAGGGTTGGACCCCCCCCCCCTCCCTATTTAACACGTGATCAGTCGGATCAGTCCTTTAACAGTAAGAAATAGCTTTTTCTGATTTATATCTTAAATATTAATAACTAAAAATGTATAATATAAATAAACATTTGATCCCCTCTATAACGGTTCATACGATTGTTAATGCATAATCGCGCCAATCAATGCTAGGTGATTAGGAGAAGTCTGTTAGGTTGTAATAACTCTCCCGAACTCCATTTACCGAACTTTCTGAATGAAAAGCCTACTTTACTACATTCAATTAGCTCACAGTAGAAAAAACAAGCTACGCCCATTGTTTTCTTATTTATTATTCCGTTTCTCTAGGAACTTCATCACAATACGGAAAAAAAAACGGTCACAGCTTCCGGTTCATGCAGATTTTAAAAATAACTGCCCGCTTATTTTCAAAAATAGTCTAATTTTACAACTATTAGACCTGATTAGACCTACTGATTAGACCATTAGCATCTCACTCAAAAAAATTACCAAAACGTCCTGACAAAATTTCTATTTATAGTTCGACTATTCTGTAGTTAATGACATCATGTGCTAAAACTGATGCAAAATGCAAAGTTGCTATTTTCTAAATTGATAAGACTAGGAGCTATTGGCCTTATTCTTCTTGTATATAAGTAGTAAGTAGTTTGACCATTTTTTGCGGTTTATTATTTCAAGTCATTTCCGTACTTGTGTCTAGGACTGAGTTTAAGCTGAATAGAAGTGTCTTAAAAATGATCTAGTAAAATATTATTTACTGTCATCATGGCGAAGATCAAAATAAATCAGTTATTAGAAATGAATTATGTTACTATTATGTTTAGAAACGTGTTGAAAAAACCTCTGTTAAACAGAAATTGGGGAAAAAAATAAATAGGGGGGCTAATAATTCTGACTTCAACTGTGTATATTATTTTCCTTGTTGTTGTTAGTCCATGCACTGGGAGCCAATGACAAAAATCTACAAAAATATTTTCTTCTATTCCTCTAACAAGACTGTGGATTAAAGGTAATATTGTTGTAATTAATGTTTAGTTGTATCATGTTAATCTTAATGTATTTCCATGTGCGATCATTTTGTTTTGCATAGGGTTTATAATCTTTTCGATGCTCAAAATATCAGTACAGTAGCCATTGACTGCATTTCTCCAAGGACCTCCATTTCAGAAAACACATCTTCCTGGCCTGAGGGTGAGTAAATCAACATCAATATTTCATTTTGTGGTGAACTCTCCCTTTGTGGATGTGGAAAAAAATAAAAGCCGAACTTGATGACTGTAAGCGAGTGTTCCCGCTGCTCTCTCACCTTGTCTCTGATGCCCTGCCGAATGTTCTCTCGCTCGGCCTCCATCTTGGCGTGTTTGGCCTTCCTCTCCTCCTCTTCCTGTCTCAGAGCTTCCTGTCTCTCCTCCTCCTTCTCCTTTTCTGCCTCTGGGTCTTTATCTTCTTCTCCTCCCAGCATTTTACCAACATCAGGGGGACCTCCTGCAAAACAGATCATAAATCAAGTTTCTATAGAGAAATACATTCACCTTAAACTGTCCATTGGTGATTCAGCATGAAGGCAACATTATTTTTATTGGCTAATCATACACTAAGTAGTTTAATTTTATCAGCAATATAAACTCACCGGCTACTTTATTAGGTACACCTGTCCAACTGCTCTTTAGTGCAAATTTCTAATCAGCCAATCACATGGCAGCAACTAAATGCATTTAGAGATGGTCAAGACAATCTGCTGCAGTTCAAACCGAGCATCAGAATGGGGAACAAATTAAGGTGACTTAAGTGACTTTGAACATGGCATGGTTGTTGGTGCCAGACGGGCTGGTCTGAGTATTTCAGAAACTGCTGATCTACTGGGATTTTCACGCACATCCATCTCTAGGGTTTACAGAGGATGGCCTGAAAAAGAGAAAATATCCATTGAGCGGCAGATCTGTGGGCGCAAATGCCTTGTTGATGCCAGAGGTCAGAGGAGAATGGCCAGACTGGTTCCCAACTGATATAAAGGCAACAGTAACTCAAATATCTACTTGTTACAACTGAGGTATACAGAAGAGCATCTCTGAACACACAACACGTCCAACCTTGAGGCGGATGGGCTACAGCAGCAGAAGACTGAGTGGGGGATATTTTCTTGGCACGCTTTGGGTCCATTACTACTAACTGAGCATTGTGTCAACGCCATAGCCTACATGAGTATTGTTGCTAACCATGTCCATCCCTTTATGACCACAGTGTACTCATGATAACGCACCATGTCATAAAGCACGAATCATCTCAGACCTGGTTTCCTGAATATGACAATGAGTTCACTGTACTCAAATGGCCTCCACAGTCACCAGATCATAATCCAATAGAGCACCTTTGGGATGTGGTGGAACTGGAGATTCGCATCATGGATGTGCAGCCGAAAAATCTGCAGCAACTGCCTGAGGCTATCATGTCAATAAGAACCAAAATCTCTGAGGAATATTTCCGGTATCTTGTTGAATCTATGCCAAGAAGGATAAAGGCAAAAGGGGGTCCAACCCGGTACTAATAAAGGTTATGGGTGAGGTGTACCCAATAAAGTGCCTGGTGAGTGTATATTATTTAAGCCTAAATAGAAGAATGGTGTGTTTTCATTCAAGAAAAAGGTATTATTACCACTGTTTTCAAGTTTTGATGATTAATATTTTTAAATAAAAAACAGGAATATATAGAAAAGAAAGAAAATAGCAGTAGAATATAATTGATTGATTCATTTATTTAAAAATGAAGTCTAACAGACCTTGCAGTGTATATTTGGGGTACTTAAACGTACTTTGACAGTAGCAAAAATCTGTTAATCTATAATTGTGTGACTGTAAGTTTTAAAGGTCCAGTGAAATCTAAAAAAGTTCATATCAGTATGTTGAAGGGTATCTATAAGCTAGTGAGCTCCAAAGTAGTGATACAATTTGCATTTAGAAGATATAAACCTTTATAAAACAATTTATATGGCATCACCCAATATTTCAGTTTCTGAACAAAATTCTGACCAATCAACTGAGCTCTAGTATCCCTTCAAGATGAGTCTCATTTCACAACCACTCTCACTGGCAGAGCTGTGGCAGAAACAAATTGCTATTGGCTGTTTTTTTTAAAGGGGGAGGGGCTACTATATGTCCCGCCCTGTACAAAATGTTTCAGTTGATGCACATTTGCATATTTCAAAGTACTTCACAAGACCTTTAACAAAAATTGTCCATAGCTCATATTTACAAATTATTTTAATTGCATTATGAAAATGTATCTCTGCATTTTAAGTGAGTTTTATTGACATTTTATTAGTCAAATGTAGTCCGTGTTGGTCTTTAAAATTACAGTACAAAAAACAAGCCTAGAACAGCCAGTACTTTTCCTTTCAACAGATTTCTTTCTGAGAATGTTGTTTTGCTGTAAACTGAGAAACCACCCTGCTATGTTGAGGAGAAAACAAAACAAAAACGATGACAGGCAAAAACAAAAGTCAAAAAGCCTATAACCAACTCAGCAAAACAAAGTTAACTCATAAATAATACATCTAGCAGAGCAGATCCAGAAACCTGCAGGCACACAAACATCCCAGAGCATCAGAGAAAAAGATATCAGATGAAAAAAAAGTCACTGATGCCTCAACATACTTCACAAAAAGCCTGATGTCTGTAGTCAAACACACACACAGGACATCACATTCAGATCTTCTGCAGCAAAGTCTGAAATGTGAAGCGATGATATATGTGACAAATATCATGCCTTGTGTGCTATGTGAGGGAGAGTGGGAGTGTGACATCCACACACACATACACACATAGAGGTTTGTTTTTGTGAATTATGGGGACATGCCATATGTTTCCATTGGTTTTACTGAACAAACTGTATTTTCTATTGCCCTACGCTATCCCTGAACCCAACCCTCACTGGAAACGGTAACCCGCGTTATGTAATAATATAACTTTTCCAAAGTAACGAATAAAGTAACGCATTACTTTTAAAAATAAGTAATGTGTTGCGGAATAAAAATGACCTTAGGTTAAATCACACACTCAATGAGCTAGCATGCTGCGAGGGAACAGACAGTTGGCTCGCACTCATCATCATCAGGTCTCTTTTTTCACAAAGTCAGTGTACTGTTCTAGTAACTAAACAACTCAGGATATTGGTTTATTTCAAGTTAGAGGGAGTATCTGGTATGTTAGTACTTACTGAAGACGCAAACGGTTTCACAACAACTCCGTTCAATTAAATGAACCGGTTCACTTAGAAGATCCGGTTAAAACAAACAATTCATTTGTGAATAGCCAGCCTGATCTTACGAGGAAACGTAAGTATTTTACGTTTTGTCAGTTTAGTGGCTAAATCGTACGAGTTCAGTCGTTCGAAAATGTAAGATTTTAAAAAGGAGGCGTGGCACCTAAGCCCACCCATAACCCCAATCGTCATTGGGTGATGAGCAAATCGTACTAAATTGTGCAAATAAGATTGTACAAATTCATACAAATTAGCCACTAAATCAAAAAGTTCTGAATCGCCGTGAGATTGCGTTGGAATAGCTCGTCATCACTACAGACAGAAACAGAAACAATGGCAGGCCGGAGACTTATATTTTTCCAATGGAATCTTGTTATTTTGAACTCATCAAACAAAAGAAGTGGATTGATTTTAAGTGTAGATTATGTGTAAGTAAAACTCAACAACTGCAAGAAACACAAAATTTAAAAAAAAAAAAAAAACTGAATGCGAAGCACTACACCCGCACCCCACCTTCAGCTAAATAGCAAATGATTGACATTAGTTCAGGTTCACCAGGTAAAACAATTCGAATAAATTTAAAAAAAAAACATTGTTATTGCTTTTATTGTTAAGAAGATGTAGCCACTGTCGACTGTAGAATTTACACATTTTTAGGGCAGGTGAAGCAATTTATTCAGTGTATATAGCTCAAAAATGTATCTTAACTTGTGGATGTTTTTGTTACTCAATATTGTAATGCAGTACTTTCAAAAATAACTTTCCTCAACACTGCTGAAAATTTTACAGTTTTACTTTTGCGAAAGAAAAAAAATCTAATTCTGTATGATTCATAAGCTTTTTGCGACATGGGGACCAATGTCACCTTGCAATACCGTGACATTACACACATTAGTGTCCTGATATATCACAGAAACCCACATATATCTCATTTCTAAAAACTGATTTCTATTGTCTTTGCCATGGTGACAGTAAATAATATTTGAGTAAATATTTTTCTAGACGCTAGTATTCAGCTTAAAGTGCAGTTTAAAGGCTTAACTAGGTTCATTAGGAAAGTTAGGGTAAGTAGGAAAGTCATTGTAATGATAGTTTCTTCTGTAGATAATCAAAAAAATAAATATATTGCTTAAGGGGGCTAATATTATTGACCTTAAAATGGTTTAAAAAACATTTTTCTAGCTGAAATAAAACTAATAAGACTTTCTCCTGAAGAAAAAATATTATAGAAAATACTGTAAAAAAATTCTTGCTCCTTTAAACATCATTTGGGAAATATTTGAAAAAAAAAATTCATAGGAGGGCTAATCAATTTGACTTTAACCCCTTGATGCACTTCATGGGTCTAAAGTGACCCGTCTAAGTTTATTTTTTCTATATCTATTTTATAGCTTGTGCATTAAGGGGTTAACTGTATATACACACACACACGCACGCACACGCACGCACGCACGCACGCATGCACACACACACACACACACACACACACACAGGCAGACAAAGGGAGAGATCCATTTCTGTGGTCTGGCTTTAAACACACGCTGAAACACAAACTGTACATCATCAGAACATTACACCATGAGACGAGCAATGTTCTAACAAGTGCAATATCAAGGGAGAAAGAGAGCTAATGAAGGCCCATGGCTGCAGATGGGGCTTTGTTCAAAGAGCTAAGATGTACAATGATAATAGAGCGCAGAGAGAAAAAAAAAAAGAGCCGTTATGCCTGAACACTGTCAGATGATGTTGACTGTTGGTGATGCAACAGTCCTGAAAATGTCATAAAAAAGCCACTTTGTGGTAGCGAAATGCCTTTATAAGCCACTCATTAACTGAAAGACGAAATGAATGCCTAGGAGCAGATATTGATAAGTGCTTAACTGTAATTGATCTTACGGGAAACATAACTATTTTATGTTTTGTCAGTTTAGTGGCAAATTTGGACTAGTTCAGTTGGATGAAAATGTACAATTTTAAAAAGGAGGTGTGGCACCTGACACTGCCCCTAAACCCAACCATTATTGAGGGATGAGCAAATTGAATTAGGAATTAGCCACTAAATCAAAAAGTTACAAACTGCCGTGAGATTGTGTTGGTAATTGTAAATCATGTAGTATATTAAAGGGATGTTTATATTGCAAAAAAAAAAAAAATCTAGAGTCAAATACTCTGTATTTCAATTTTTTTGATGTAAATGTATGTGTTGATTGCAAGTAATGTTACCAAAT